TGTCTAATACAGTCAAAACAACAAAACCAGGATGTGTGTGGGCCTGCAGTATATATGAAAACTCCATTTCATTTAGCAGATCAAAGACCCACCATAGGTGCTGGGGATTTAGCTCAGCGGTTCAGTGGGCTGCCTTGCAAAAAAAAAAAAGAGCCATCATATGTAAAGCTTTGCTGGATGAGTCAAATCCTTACTTTTACTGTATTTTAGAAGCCATCTGGACATGGACTGTTTCCATGTCTGTGTGTATAGCGCTTTTATGCTATTAAACCACACTCTTCTTCCTTTCTTTTCCTCCTTACTCTTGACCAGTGTTTACCCAACTCCATCCTCTTCATTTTGTCTTGGTCGCCTCTAAGAAATCACACATTGTATACAGTTTACTCAGTCCTAAAATAGCATGGATTGTATAAAGTTCAGTCAGTCCACTGCTACTTCTGTCTTAAAACTATGTAGTGTGGTGTCTCCGGATTTCCGCTCTCTCACTGGTCATATCTCGAGTGCTGCTGCTCATAAGATGGCCTCTGATTAGACACAGGTTTCTTTAACGCTTCCTTAATATGGGCAGCTTTCAAAATACAGCTCATTTACTTAATATAATTTCCTATTTGCAAAACATTTTTGTACTTTATATTAAGAAATGGTATTTCCGCAAATACCACCGAAGAATACCCAGAACACTTTTTCGGAAAGTAACAATAACACCTAATCAAATAACAAACTAGTAGTAGTACTTCCTGCAATTTGTTACATTTATTTCACTCCTTCTTTTCAAACACAAATGCACCCTAATTTGAAAAATGGAACAAATTACTAATTATATATAGTTTTACTGAAAATTGAAGTGTGGACTTTTTCAATTGCACTAAGTATTCTAATTCTTCTAATTTGCTGCCTATTATTTTAGCCGATGGTTGTCCCTAATGTGAGTCATATTGTTGCTTATTATATTGCGTCTAGTACATCATAATTAAACATGGCGCCTTGATCAGCATCCTTGCATAAAACCTTTGAATCGTCCACAACAAATCATTCTGCAAAAAATTCCAGAAATCAGTTGATGAAATAACTAGAAGAGTTGAAAGTTAATGGAATGAGAAGATGTTCACAAAGAACATCACTGTGTATCACATAATGTTCTTTCAGCCAATAACTCTTGCATTACAGCAGTGTCCCCGTAAGATTATATCATACATGAGAAAACATATAAGTGGGGAACAGGTATGTGTAAAAATGTGCACCATCTTTTATCATCAAGCAGACAAAAATCAAAACCTCGCTCCAGTAGGAATGACTATTTGCAAGATGAAAGATAGCAAGCACTGGCAAGGATGCAAAGAAAGGTGAATCCCTGAACAGGCTGTCTGGTATGTACGCTAGACCAGGCCTTATGGAAAACAGTATGGAAATGCCTCAAAACTTTACACATAAAACTATGACCTGATCCAGCCTAGAGAGCTGGGGTATACGAGCAAAGGAGATCACCGTGTACCGCAGTTAAATCAGCTGACCATGGTCTGAATCATCTAAAACACCTGAGCCTGGATAAAGCCGTCTTCCCTCCAGTTGTGGGCATTGGATATTTTGTTCTAACAACCAGGAGAGTGACTCAGACAGTAATATCAGATGCACTGTCACTTTCATATTTATTGCAGCATTCTTCGCAATAGCTAAGATATAGAAACAACCCAAGTTGCTGAGTGGACAAGGGAAATATACTACATATGCACAAATAATGCTGTGCATTAAAAGGTGGGAGTTGTGTTATCTGCAACATAGACGGGAGTGAAGATTAGTATGTTGAGTGAAAGCCAGTCAAGAAAAGGCAAGAACCACCTGACAGTTAAACTTGACTGTGTCTATTTGATTAATATGGGAGTTGCCTAAAGGCTTGGTGGAGCATGCTTCTGGGTATGTCCAGGTGGGTCAAGGGTGTGTGGTGTGAGGTACTGAGCTGGTCCCCAGCCCTGCTTGTCTGGTGCTGTTACCCTGCTCTGCTTCCTAGCACCTCCTTCCACCATGACGGTTCTGTCCCCGGAGATTGCTGCCTGGCTCCTGAGTCCTTTGAGTCTGTTAACCAAATTAAAACTCCTCCTGTATGTATGTCTTGGATGTACAGTATTGTGTCTCCGCAACCAGGAAGCTACTACACACATGTCTTATCTTGCTCACAAGAGAAGCTGAACCAGGAGATTGTGCATAAGTTGAGAGGAAAATAGTGGCTGGTGACAGGAGGCAGGAGGAAAGCAGAGCATTCATCGATGGGTACAGAATTGAAGCTCCCTACTAGCAAGAAGTTCTGGGAAGCTATTGCACAGGAAGGTGATTATAGATAGCAATATACACTGTATATCTCTCAAAGTTAGAAGAAAAAACTTTCGATGCTTTCACCATAAAGAAATGTTAGATGTCGAGGACATAAACACAAATAACATTATTTAGACACTGCACTGTATATCTAAATATCGCATGGTGTCTGTTATGGTTTAGCTCTGTCATGGGTATCCTCCAAAGGGCTCCTGTATTCTAAGCTGGGGCTTTTGAAAGCTGATTGCACCCCAGGTACACTACACCTTTACTAAGGAGTTTACAGCTACGTGTGGTGTTTGGAGGAAGGACCTGACCCAAGTAGGCAGCTCACCAGGGTCACGACCTACAAGGACGGATGTCTCTCTTGGCTGCTCCCTTATGGCTCTGCTTCCTGGCTGCCATGAACAACTTTCTTCCTCCACACTGTTTGTCCCTTGCAATCAACCAACCATGGACCGAATCCTCTAAAAAACCTGAGCCAGGATAAAGCTGTCTTCCTTTCAGTTGTGGGCACAGGATAGTTTGTTCTAACAGCCAGGAGAGTGACTCAGACAGTAGCAAATTAATATTTATAATTTTTGGATGCTATGTATCAGTTAAAAATAATTCAGTTTGAAATCCCTATTGCCTGGGGACAAGACAGCTGGCAGAATATCAGGTCACATTTTAATTTTTATGTTTGTGGTGGAGCAGGTTGTAAATGTTCCTATGGAGCTGCCCGATATAACAAAGGACAGCACATGCCTCTCTGTACAGCGAATGATGCCCCAAAATATTAATAAGCTTTGCTAAGAGCTTAATTAAGTGCCTACTACCCATTTTTTTTTTTTTTTTGTCTTCAAATCCCGGGTCTGTGTGTGCAAGGCAAGTGCTGTGTAAGTCAGCTATATCCAAGCCCTACTCTAGGACACTTTTACCACTGTGCTACAGGGTACTCTTTCTGCTTATCAAAAATGTTTTCTGTAAGGCAGTACACACACCACACCAGCAGTGACCTCACCTCCCACGTTTATGGTGTTGCCTTGTTGCATCCCGATGTGCTGTATGAGTGATCCATAAGAGGACTCAGTCTTGTCCAAACAGGGACAAAAATCAGCCAACTTTATGGATCTCAGGTGGTATCTGGTCAGTGAGTGACTCATGCTTGTATTTCTATTAACAATAATACTTCCGCACATAATTTTGCTATGTGCTTTAAACCCACTTTATCTTAGTGTGTGCTATTTTTTCATGCTATAGTTTAGCTCTTGCATGACCCCAAAGCAATGCTGAAGTTGGCCGCAATGTAACACTTTGGGGAAGTGTTATAGTCTTTAGGAAGTGGGTCCTTCGGTCATTGAGGGTATGATTGAGATGTGACCTTGATCTACAACCCCAGCTGCCTCCTCTTCTGCTGTTTTCCTTTCTGGCCACAGGATCAGTGGCTTTACTCTCCCAAGAGCATCCATGATAACACGCTCTCCTGGCACAGGTCCAAAAAGTGGGGCAGCTGACTGTGGACAGGAGCATGTCAAATGGCAAGCCAAAAATCAGATTTTCCTTAAGTTGGCCATCTCAGGTATTTTATCAAAGTAGCGGAGAGCTGACTACAAATGCGGAGCTTCAGATTTAAGAAAATATTTCACCCTGAAATAAGTAAGTAGGATAATATATATAAGAACACAGTACAAAATATCAGTGTTCAATGCTGAAAGGTTGGTTTATTTTTATGATGAAGTAATTTATATATATATAATATAAATACTA